AAACTGAGTTGTAAATTAGCACAAAAATTTATTATTTTGGTTAAGTCCATAGTATCTCTGAAACAAGAGGTTAAGAAATAGGAAAAGCCAAATAGGAACCATGGCTATGTTTCTTTCCTCAGAAGGAAAACTTACTGGATTTTCTGGTTGGCTTCAGAGAAGAGTCTTTGATCTATCTTTTGTTTTCCCTTTCCTCTTCTGGACCAATAATGATTTTTTTTTTAAACTTATGATTCTCCAGGATGAAGAACGGGATCCTCTGTTGCATAGTTTCAATCATTTAAAGGAAGTTTTAAACAGTATAACAGGTAAGTCTCTACATATAGGTAGAATTACTTAACCTAGTAAAAAACACATGTATTTGATTTATTGTGAGTATAGACAAATTTTTCGTATAAAGAACCATATAGACTAAAGAAAGAAGAAAGAAGACCGTGCAGTATTGCCAACCTCTCCTGTCCCCCCCCTCTAAAGGGCTCTTGTAATGTAGCCTTGTAATGCTGTTAGCTAGTGGTATAGCTCAGACCGTAATTGAATAGTGTTTACTCTTCTACAAATTAAACAACAAATGAACAAATGTCCTCCTTTCATGAGAAATACAGGAGAAAGTTTGGAGAAGATTCCTTAGTTGGTTTCCTAAACATGGTCTGAAGTTATCTGTAAAGGAAGAATGTCACTTAATTGAAAAGGCTTTAGAAGTGTTTGCTAGAAAGCTGGGTCTGGTAGTTTACACCTGTGATCCCAGCATTCAGGAAGCTGAGATAGAGGAGGATTTCTGTAAGTTTGAGGCCAACTTGGGGCTGCATAGGGAGTTCCAGACTAGTCTGGGCTACAAAGTAAGACCCTGTCTCAGAAAACAAGCAAACAAAGCCAGATGTGATGGTAATCCCAACATGGGAGGCTGAGGCAGGAGGATCAAGAGTTCAAGACCTGCTTGAGCTATAGAATGAATTCAAGGCCTGCCTAGGCAATTTAGTAAGACCTTGTCTCAAAATAAAAAAAAAAACAAAATGTATAGGAGTTATAGCTCAGTGATAGTACATTTGCCTAGGGATTGTCTGGGTTCCCCTCTACTACCAAAAACCCCAAAAGAAGTTAGGAGAATCAAGTGTAGAGGAGGTGCCTGTGAGATGATTAGCAGCGCTGATCTGCTGCTAGGTGATAAGTGATTATGACTTTGTGTTTTAGAAAGTTAACTACTTGTACAGAGTTTTACAAGTTTACAGTTTCCAATTATTAATAAAAAATATAATGAGAGGACATTTACAGTTCCTTTTTTATTGTTCGGATTGTTCAGATTGTTATCTTTCTACGCGCTATTGAAAGATTAATTTAATATAATTGGAAACAATTTGTAAGCATTTAATGTACATGAAAGACTGTTACTATAGGTGTTTGGTAATACCCTAGAATGGCTGAAATGACTGGACAGAAGTCTGGTAGCATTTTGGGCACCAAGATCTTGAGGATCTGAGGTAGCACTGCTGTTCTGGAAAACTGCCTGTCATATGGTCTAGATCCTACTCCTGTTTTCTCCATTTTGATGTATCCCAAGATTTTAGCTCAGAGATCTTTCCTGTGGTGAGCAATGAGTCCAAGAACTGGGGTCTCTTTAGAACATATTTGCAGTTAGTGTTTGCTTAAACTGCCTGATGACTGATGTGATTAAGAGCTAGCTATCATAGTTGTGTCTGCTACCTAATTTTCCTATGTTCTTGGGTTAGGAATCCGGTCAAATTATCTGTTGCTTAGAATTAATAAACCAGAATGTGTTGAGGAGCCAGTTCTGTCAGTCATATTAGGAATATAACAGTTGAGACTTGTCTCAGAAAATGATAGAGTAGACCCAATATACAACATTTCATGGTCTTCTTAGATCTGATCCCCTCCCCCCAATGCTGGCTCTCAGGAAAAAGTTTATAGGTCAGCTGCCCCTGTGGTCCTGGACTCTAGTCCATGACCAATTATCCTTTACAGAAACAAACAGGTTTTTCTGATTGGCAGTGCCAGGAGGATTGCTTTCCTGGAAGCCTGTTAGGAAAGGGTTTTGAACTCAGAGAGAAATTGAAGGGATTGTGAGTTCCCATGTTATGTGATTAGTTATGGTATACCACTTAGATTGGAGGAGAGATGGTCAATATTTTAGGACTTCTATCCAGTTTGAATCATGAATCTGACCTGGGCTTGGTTCCTTGCTGTTTACAGTTTTCTAGGTTACCTGCTGACTTGGTTGATAAGCACATTACTGTTGGAAATGGGTGGTTCATTGGACATTGTTAGTATACCAAAATGATTTTTTTTTTTTTTTTGTCTTTTTGAGACAGGGTCTCCCTCTAGCCCCAGCTGGCCTGGAACTTGTTATGTAGACCAGACTGGCCTGGAACTCACAGAGATCTACCTGCCTCTGCCTCCTGAGTACTGGGATTATAAAGGCATGCACCACCATGCCCAGTCCAAAAAAAAATTTTTTTTTGAGGCAGTCTTACCATATAGCCCAGGCTAACCTAGGATTTCCCAAGTTGCCCAGGCTGACCTTGAACTAGAAGTCTTTATATCATGTCCTTCTCCTGAGTGTTGATATTTACAGGCATTTGCTGCCACTCCTGGTCCAGGATGACTAATTTTCTTTTTCTTGTAAACAGGAGAACTTTTACTTACTCCTCCAGGAGTATTATTTGATCTTTGTAAAGGAAATAAGTTGATTGTCTCCAATAAGGTTGGCTAAGTCCCTACCAGTTATTTCATATATATGTGTCTTTAGAACATACTTGCAGTCAGTATTTGTCCAAACCATGATGATTTCATGCCCTACAATCAAGAGTTGTAGGTATTGTTACTTTGGCTTAAAAAGTATCATCAGTGAGAAAGACTTGATTGCTCCCCCTCATTTAGTCATTAAGTGCTCTTAGAAATCTTTTCAAGGGTTAAAACAGACATGTTTTCAGGAGCTAAAACAGACGGGGTTTCTAGAGCTGTAAAGGGATTCTTTGGGGTTGAAGAAAATGTTCTAGAATTAGTGATGGTTGTACAACTTTGAAAGTATATTAGAAACCATTGAATTGTATACTTTATAAGGGTAAATTTTATTTTATTATTGCTTTTTTAATTTTATGTGTATGAGTGTATTACCTGCATGTATGTAAATGCACCCATGTCATGCAATGCCCCTAGAGGTCAGAAGAGGGCGTTGGATCCTCTGGAACTGGAGTTAGAGACAATTGTTAGTTGCCATGTAGGTGCTGAACCTGGGTCCTCTGCAAGAGCATCCAGTGCTCTTAACCACTGAACCATTTCTCTAGCCTCTACAAAGGTAAATTTTATGGTATGTGAATTACAGTTCAAAACCTTTTTTCCTTTTTTAACATTTTATTTATTATTATTTTTATTTTATGTGTATGAGTGTAGTGCCTGCATGTAGGTTGGTGCACCTGTGTCATGGAGGTCAGAAGAGGGTGTTGGATCCCCTGGAACTGGAGTTACAGATGATTGTTAGCCATCATGTGGGTGCTGGGAATTGAATCCTGGGTCCTCTTCAAGAGCAGCCAGTGCTCTTAACTATTAAGCTATCTCTCCAACCCTCTTTTTTTTCTTAAAATAGTGCTGCTCAGGCTTGCCTTGACTTTCTGGACTCTAAGATCCTTTGTTAGCTTCCTCAGTAGCCAGGACTGTAAGTATGTACCACTGCACCCAGTTTTATAGTTTTTGTTTTGTTTTGTTTTGTTTTCAAAGAAAATGTAAGCTACAAAATTTGTGAACTCACACCTCTTTCTTAGGGCTTAATGTGGGAGGGAAGCTTTTGAGTGCTGTCACTGCTGAGATTTGGACCCATTGCCCAGCAAAGGCAGCATAAGGCTCTCTTCAGCCTTTTGGCCCACTTTGTCCTTTTATGTCTCTCTCATTAACTCAAGGAAGCACATGGCTTTTATATTTAAATTTATTCAAGCTGTAATCTTTGACATTTGAGTTAGCTTTTAGTACAGTTTTGCATTTATAGTAATATATTTTATGTATTTTCTCTATCCCCAAAGAATCCTTTTTAATCTTTTCCGGATGCAAATTTCAGGCTGTCTTGTCCCATCTCCCCTCTCTTGCTCTCTTTCCCCTCCCCCCACAGAGTGTGTTTGATCAGGTGTGGCAGGAATATCCACTGTCAAGCTGCGCCCTTTATATTAGTCAATATTATTCTTCTCCCCCCTCCCTGTCTGCCCGCCCCTTTGGGCTTTCCCAGTTGATTTATAATTTTGGAATTCTCATCGGAGTCTGTAATACAGTTTGTTCATTATTTAACCAAAACCTGTTTAATGAGCAGAGAGAGGCAATGTAAATGTTAGACATGTTGCAGTGATGTACCTTTGTGCTTCTCAGAACGGGTGGGTAGTTAACTCTGTGTTGCCTGCAGGGCTGGGGTATCCTGGGTTTAGGGGCAAAAGGGCCACTGTGAGAGTGGGCAGTAGCCTTTTTGTCACTAAGTGGCCCTTACATCTGCCCAACTCTGACATAGGTTTAGATTCCAATGATGCATTTTCTTTGACCCTTCTAGTAATCTTCTGGAGTTCTTGCATAATATTGGAGTTATGTTCAATCTCATGGCTAGATCCTGTGGTAAGATCTGTGGCTAGGAATAGAGGGCATGAAAGGGAAAGTAAAATATCATCGTTCTTGATACTGCTTCTGGTTTTAGGTCTGAAAAGAATTGACAGTTGAGAAGGATGATTCTAGCAGAATCATGTGATCTCTGGTTAATTTGTTTCCAGGCTAGGTACATTTTTGCAAGTCTTAGTACCTTCATCTACAATTTTATGGAATGAACTTTATTCAGTTGAAGTTTGCCTATACTCATTTGTATCCAGATTTAGGCTGCCTTTTCCCTTGGTCTTTAAGCTTACATCTACACGTGTGTGTGTGTGTGTGTGTGTGTGTGTGTGTGTGTGTGTGTATTTGTTTATGTATATGTGCATGTAAGTGTAAATTTACATTTTTACAAAGGGATTATTTTCTAGAAAATCTTGGTTTTTACAAAGAGAGAGATACGGTCTAAAAAATATTCTCTTAAAGAATTATTATTATTATTTTTATTTTATTTTATTTTTTTTTTGGTGCTGGGGCCTTGTACATGTTAGGCATATGCTCTATTACTGAGCTATAGTTCCAGCCCTCGACTTTTTTTGTGTGTGTGTGACAAAGTCTTACTAAGGCTGGCCTCAAGATCACAGTCCTCTTACCTCTACCTCCCAAATGATGGGATTATAGGTATTTACCACCATGCCTAGCTGGACTACCTCATAATGGCATTAAAGTCTTCAGGAAG